AAGACAGTTTGAAAAATTAGCTGTATTTGGTCACTTGAACCTTCAATTTCAGGTGCCACGTATCTCTAGCGGTCCCGATCTTCATCATGTCATCATGGGCTCTGAAGGAACCCTTGGGGTTGTGACTGAGGTTAGAACTTCTTATCCCTTTGTTGTTCTAGTTCTATTGGTCTGAGCTTCTCATTTCTTGACAATCTCCTCAAAGGGTTTCTCGTCAAATCCGTAAACTTTTCCTGCAGCTATTTGATCGTCTTGTTGTGATTCTTTGAATTTATTATTTTTCTATATGCCATTAGTACGATCGTAAAACTCGCCCGGTTTTCCAAAAAACGCAGGCCCGGAACACTCTTGCGAGCTGGCAAACATTCAGAGTACATGAGGAGGCAAAAAAGAACTTTGCATATGGCACGTACAGTGAATGTTTACGTCCCATGATATGACAAAACATATGGAAGAGCCAAGGTAAAAGATTGCCGAGGTGTTCCTGTATAGACTGGGGCGAGCCCTCCTTCACTGAAAACGTGAAGCCATCAACTGAAGCACCTGCATAAATTTTAGGGTTAAAACGCTCACGTGCAGATACACAGAGACTGTTGATTTTCTATTGGAAGGCTCCAATCCGTCAAGATTTCGGACCAGGGTACATAGTCATTATGTGGGAAATAGCAACTCTCCTCTCCCCGCCGCTCTCAAAAAAAGAGGGCCTCTCCCTTATCTCAAGCTGTCACCACCAATTCAACGCAGTCGCCTTCTATCCATATTTTTTGCCAAAATTTCGCTGTCAATGGGGGAGGGGCGGGTTGGGGGAAGGGTACAGTATGGTTCGCCGCGAATGATGGAACGTGTCTGCGCGGCTGCGTTAAGCGCACCGCCAAACCCATTCTCCACCAACTGCTAAAGGGGTGAGCGACAAACTGGTGGAAGCAACTACTCTACTACTTACGACACGATATTGATACAGCCTTTGTCGCTTGGCTGAAAGCAAAGAAGAATAAAAGAAAACGGCTGTGCGGTCGCGCAAACCCAGCCGCGCAGGCACACACCATCATCATCAGCGAACAAGACTCTACATAACGCGCGTAAAAGGGGTGTGGAAAATAAGCAAAGAATTTCATTCGACGCTGTATACGACCCTCCTTCAAAAGCAAAGTACCCTCTATTTGCTGGAGATGAAGGGGCGTTTCAGGCACTGTGGGTATGCCACGGCGCTGAACCCGTTCTTTGCCAGTTTTCGAAGTGGGTATGCGACAACAATTGGTACGGCTGATACGAACTGCCTGACACGCCCCTTCGTTCGCAACCAACTACACTATAACTGCCGAAAACCTAACCAGTATGTGGCTCTTTTCAACATGTGAGCGTTGCGGTAGCATACGGTGAAGAAACATTGAGCGCACGGACGAGAAACCGGACCATGAGAGACGAGCACAGAGACGAGAGGGCGGGATTGTTACCCATTATTCTTGTGTGACACTTGTAGGTTACATGAACCTTGTAGGATAGCGTAGCAAGTCGCAACCTTGCAGTTTTCCACACATGATTGTCTAAAATCGATCGATCCTATTGGTTTATCGATCTATTTTACAGGAGATCAGGTGAAAAGAGTCTTTGATGTTCAGGTGACAATCAAGGTATTCCCGATACCTGAAGTAAAACGCTATGGCAAGTTTGGTGTTCCCAGATTTCAATCATGGTGTAGCATTTTTCCGAGAGGTTGCTCGACAGGTAAACGATCATCAAATTTGGCTCTTTTCTGTTCATCAATTTATTGATTATTTATTTCTCAATTTATTCTATTATTATTTATGGAAAATATATAGTCGGCTATACATGAAAAAAATTTGATGTGAAATTCTATGTACAGGGTTGCAAGATTACGGTAACAAGATAAAGTGATTAGGGGAGACCTATAAAGCTGAAATGGAACTTATGGAGATTGAAAATATCGACTGAATCATCACTAAAATAATAAAATAAAAATAATATTACTAATACTTGTATCTGAAACTTATATAAATACTGTATCTGGATTTGAGCCCGAAAGCAAGGCTATTTAAAAGTTCAAATGTATTTACACTCGCTAGATCGTTCCCCGTGCAGATCTATCGAAATCTACATGAACGAAAGCTCAAAGCTGGTTGTTTTACCCCTTGTGAACCTCATAACCTTCCACAGTTCACAACCTTTTCACAAGAACCCTATTGGGGCTGTATCAAAAGATCGGGCTGAGCCGGGGATCGATCCCGGGACCTCTCGCACCCTAAGCGAGAATCATACCACTAGACCACTCAGCCTACCGACATTTGCCCATTTGTCTTCCAAGTGCGCAGGTGCTTCGAATTGCTTCGAACTATCTGCATCGCATTACAACGCGAAGGCAGAAGGGATTCGATGCTTTGCTAGGAACAGGAAGACTATCGTCATATCGTATTAATACGGATGGATCGCGGCTATCGCATTAATACGGATGGATGGCGGCACCTGCGCAGAGAGGGAAGAAACATTTCTCATCGGTACACCCGTGGCTGAGTGGTCTAGTGGTATGATTCTCGCTTAGGGTGCGAGAGGTCCCGGGATCGATCCCCGGCTCAGCCCAACTTTTAGAAGCACTTATTTCATTGAATTTGCCGATTCTCCCATGCCTGGCTATGCAGAAGAAAGGAATCGTCAGCGGGACCCCACAGTTCACTCCCAGTGTTCAAAACTGAAAACTTTTCAAAAAACTCAAAATGTTCAGGGAGTTCTATTTGGTCCCAAAATGCTACGGAATAGCCCAGAAAGTTTTTTTCTTCAGAGAATACAGCCAGCTTCGCTACGATTGGTGGACAACACACAGTTCATCATGGGACAGGCCCTAAGGCTGGCATCGAATTCATACTGGACCGCGCTGAAGCACTCCATGGGACGAATGTATCTCACCAAGTGGAGGAAGTTCCATGTGAGTAGTTTTTTTCCACATCTTTTTTATCCCTTATGATTATCAGCACCGGTCACCGACGATGAGGTAAATGGGCAGCTCAGCACACTTCAACAAATTTCGCCCGTAACGACGATACGACCCCCTCAACTAAAAACGCCTCACTTTACCGATTGTTCTTACCTCCATTCACCTCCTACTTCCAAGAAAGAGAACTCCCAGAAAAGGGATGGAGGGGTGAGGAAATGGAATCTGTATTCCTTCCCGAAACTCTCCAACCCCTTCACATCAAAGCAGATCGCTATAAGCAAGAAAAATGCGTCTCCTTCCCAGTGACACAAATACAACCCGTGTCCCTGACACAGAAGAACGATAAGTCGTTGGGCGCTCCACGACCTCCTTCTAGGCTACACCCTCTATTTTCATTGAAAATCGTGGTGACTCATGAATGCTCAGACTTCCGAGACCAGGCAATACACCTTGTCAGTGCTCTTATCCTCCCAGAACTTCCATAGGAGACGATAGACCAAGGCAACTCGTTGTTGGGATCGTATTTGGCTGCTGGGAGAGGTTGTCATATTCAGCAGAAGTGGTAGGAAAATGGAAAAAATAGAGAAGGGTCGCATTTTTGCGGGTTTTCCGTTTCACATGTGCTGCTTACCCCCTCCCCTCTCTCTCGCTCTCGCTCGACAGCTCGATGAGGAGGGAACCAGGAGGGGGGAGGGGGTCATACCAACCCTCTGAAAAAGAGGGGATCGTACGAACTCGACTAAACTTCCCAACTAATGACGTGCTCTGCGACCCTACATAGTCAGAGAGGGGTTCACGTGACGGTACAGTTCAAAAAAGAAAAATCGAAAAAACCCCGCCCAATCACGAATTCCTCTTTCTAGATAGATGAGATGTGCGCTGCTACTTGTGTCTTCGAAGGTACTGCAGATGAGGTGAACAACGAGGAAAAAAGGCTGTACGCTCTGGCCGAGAAATACGAGGGTGTGGTAAGTCATTACTAACAATGTACAAATATAGTAAAAATCAATGTATAAAAACAGGAACGCAATGCGCCTCCAGCGGGAGCAGTCTGCCACTTTTTATTGAGAACACGAGGTACTGTAATTTCTAGCAGGGAAGGGCCCGGGTGCCTAGGTGTTTCACTGTGGTGCCAACACTTTCGGAGGGGCGGGCGGTCCGCATCGCTCGGCGCTATGTGTCTCCCCGCCTGCTAGAAACTCTAAACCCGTCGCTACTCTGACTGTCTGCGCTCTAAGCCTTGGCTGGGTGAACGCAAAGGCGCGGTGGGTTGGTCCCCACCAAACATGTTAGCGCGTCACTATAAGGGATTTCTAAAAATGTGCGAGGACGAGGCTACAGTCGTTAAGTGGCTCATCTTCTTCAGACCCCTTCGAAGATTTTGGGCTACGGTAGCCTAAGAAAATTTGCACCCTGGCTCTTCCGCATGAACGACAGATCTGAATGAAAAAAAGACCAACGAAGTGTTTATGAGCGTAAAAATGCCGGCAGTTATCCAAGCAGCGTGGATCTTGGTTTCTTGTGTAATTGCGTAAAATAGCTTACAGACCTTTTTTGTTACTGGTTCTACCATTTACAATATGAATGATGAATAACACAAAATTTGATTTAGGTAGGAGGCGAAGAGAATGGCAAGTATGGATATCGATTAACATTTGCCATAGCTTATTTGAGAGTAAGTGTCCGGCTACTATTCTAAAAATCGAAAAAGAGTATATAAACGATTTCAGGACCTTGGCATGGAATACGGAGTGCTTGGAGAATCGTTTGAAACGTCCGTACCATGGGATAAGGTCAGCGGTCATATCACCAACTAATCAATATATTGATTTATTAAACTGCTTATTATGATACCTGCTGTTTAGCGCTGCAGTTCGCGCTACGAAAGTTTCACAAGAATGCTGGGTATGGGCAAAAGACTTGACCTCAGATGAGACTCGAACCCGCGTAATATACAGCGAGCCCGCCCAAAAGCATGAGGTGCGGGTTCGAATCCCACCGGGGTCATGTCTTTTGCCCAAAACTCAGCATTCTTGGGGTCTATTCCAGTGTCCAAGAAGTCTATGTCGAAACGTCAAAGAACTTATTAAACGACAAGCGAAAGCCCTCGGAGTACAGTATCCAGCATTGTCAAGTTGCAGGTGATTATAACCAAGAGTTACGGTTACGGTAGGCAGAGCTTCAAGGGCTGGTGTGATTACAGGGGTAAGCCCAAATCGTGCTCTAGATGACAAAAATGAAAGAAAAAAATACTGGGTCCCGATAAAGGGTTATTTGTGGCAGAATTGCCCTCGTGCATAGTGCTCCCCATAAACCAACTAATGGCGCAGGGGCAAGAAGTGCTACCGTAGTCTGTTTGTTGCCAAAACAACACCCTGGTTCGACCCCTATTGAGGACAGGTACAAACCAAAGGTGTTTCTAGTGAGCTGTTTGGCATAGCTCATGTCGATTTGTAACCTTTCGAACTATCTGACAGGGAGCAGAGAGTTCAATTACTACATCAAAACATTGGGCTGAGCCGGGGATCGATCCCGGGACCTCTCGCACCCTAAGCGAGAATCATACCACTAGACCACTCAGCCACGGTTACAGACATGAGAAATGTTTCTTTCCTTTCGGCGCAAGTGCCGCGATTCACCCATATCACGTCGGCGAATCATCGGAAGGGATATGATGAATTGCAACGTCTTTATAAGATTTTCACCATTCCGTCAGGCTGAGTGGTCTAGTGGTATGATTCTCGCTTAGGGTGCGAGAGGTCCCGGGATCGATCCCCGGCTCAGCCCAACTTTTACATCTTTGTTGGGTTTGCATGTCTTCCATTCGCGTCTCATGTCGTTAATATGTCTTCAATGGGGCTGGACAATGGTCAAATGCCAAGGCACTTTCTACCACTGGGAAGAATTTTTGTACTAACCCTCCCCGAATTTCCTTGTTCCCCACCCCCTCTTCTCATCCTACCTACCATTAGCCTACCTTACTGATTTTTTCCTGCTTTCCTACGACTTCCCCCCATTTTTCCAAGAAGGGAGGGGGAAATGGGGAAATATGATATAACACATGTAAAGCGGGAAAATTTGAGGAAATTTAGCAACCGGGAAAATTTTGTGGCTACTTGGGAAACGCTGCCTTCTCCCGCTCCCAAGACGAGCAAATACGACCCCAACCACCCCCCCCCCTTCCATTGGAATTCTCCCAGCGATGGTGATCGCGCATGCAAAACAGTACAAAAAATTATCAAAAAAATTTTTTACGCTAAATACGACTCCTCTTCCTCTGTCGACTAAATAAGACCCCCGCTGGGATCCACCCAGAGAAGATTTTTTGGCATCGATTACCAAGCAACCTCAAATGCAGTTATTTAGAGTAACCCAAGTATACGACGCTGGAGCATGTGTCTATTTCTATTTCGGGTTCAACGGTCGTGGATTGAGCAATCCTTTGGAAGTCTACGATAAGATTGAGGTAGGTTGTCGTTGAAACACGTCCAGTTCGGAGCAGGGTGCCATCAATGGCCCAAAATCTGGCGCTCGGAGTCCTCCAAGGTACCCATAGAAGGCCATCTTTCACTTCAGACAGCTGCTCGAGACGAAATCATCGCCTGTGGTGGCAGTATATCACATCACCATGGGATAGGAAAATTGAGAAACAATTGGATGCTCACATCTCAAGGCGCCGTAGGAGTATCGCTACTGAAAGCAATCAAGGTTTGTAAAGCGATCTTCTAACTTAACTCTCAGCTATACCCTCAAGTCTTACAATTCCAGTAAAATATTTTTAAATGATTAACTAAACTTATTTTCTTATTCCAACTTAAACGTTCTACGCACGTCTTGCCAAGAACACGTTGCTTTGTTGCTTTTTGCGCTTATTTCCGCCGAATTTCCCTTTATTAAGTCATCCTCATATACAGTTATGTTCGCTGCGGACGCCGGTGCTTTCCAGGAGGAGGGGAGGGAGTGGATTTGGTGCGGCGCCATCCTATCCCCAACTGCGGAAGCTGGTAGGCGACCATAAGTGATGGAGAACAGGCTGGCTTCGCTCTAACTCAGCCACTTTCCCCCTTGAAACTCACCTCTGAAAAGCGATTTTTTAACGAGAAACTGAGAAATTATTGTAGGAAAAGGAGAAAATATCGGGCTAAGCCGGGGTTCACCCCATCGTCCGCGTACCATAGTTCGTAAGACTGCACTATCTTCCAGGTTATTTCTCACTTTAGTGCTATTTCATAAGAGAAAGTAAAGGGACTAGCCATAATACTCCATGCCCTCCGGTGAGTCTATGCTTTAGTACAACTCACGCAATCAACATCTAAGTCTCGACCATACCTCTGCCCCGTCACAAACGTAAACTTCATTCTCGCTGCATTCTCCTTGGAAAGGTCTTTCTAAATAGAATGGAGAGGCAAGGCGGGCGAATGGAACGAGTAAACGTGCTCACCCCCCCCCCCCACCAAAAAAACGTACAAATTGTATTCGCCCAAGATTTCTCCAGCAACACACTCCCAGTTTCATCCCCAGAGCGGTTCAAATAACACTTCTTCGTTTGGAATCCTTCAATATCAGAATTCCACGCTCGTTCACTCTGTCGAGTGTATCACAACTTTACGTAAATACGACCCCCTTACTGAGAAAATGTCGACCTAGCCGGCCCTGAATTAGGAGGGACCTCACATGGAGTCGACAGCGGCAGATGACGTACTTTGATGTCTACTAATGAGTAACGAGCGGAAGGATTTTTATCAAAAAGTGAAAAATATTGCTGGAAAACTGAGAAAATAGGGGAGTCGAGACGCCGCGGAGGTTAGCAAGCAAGTCTTCAAAACGTCGGGCTGAGCCGGGGATCGATCCCGGGACCTCTCGCACCCTAAGCGAGAATCATACCACTAGACCACTCAGCCACGGGTTTAGTGATAGGAAAGGTCTTTTATCTATCTGCGCGGGTGCTGCGCTCCACCTGTGTCACGACCTAACTAAACATGTCCTATTTCTCAGCGGAATGAAATACGCCGAGTTGAGAAAAATGTCGACCTAACAAGCGCCCTGAACAAAGAATGGCTCACACGCTGAGCTCGTAAACAGCCGACAGAATCACGTAAAGAAATTCTTTGTTTGTCTGCTGATATGTGACTAATGTTCAAAACTACGGCGCTGAGCCGGGGATTCGACTCACCCGGGACCCTCTCGCACCCTAAGCGAGAATCATACCACTAGACCACTCAGCCACGTGTTTGTCGTCGAGAAAGTTTCTTCTGTTTCTGCGCAAATGCCGCAGTCCACTCACATCATATCGGCGAATCGAAAATGGGCATGACGAATTGCGCAAGATCTTGCAACACCATTCTTTGTCAAATTGGTCGGATTGGCTCAGATTTGGTCATTAGTGCTTCATATCGCCTGCTGACCCCACAACCATCTGATGGCTGCTGTTGCCATCTGAGACTTCCTGTTGTCGTTCGTTACACTTTGCAGGTCATAATAGCTCTCGATCCCCCCTCTCTTGTTCGCTGTACCACGCGAAAGCTGAGTCGTCTTTGAAGACTCAGCTAGTCCTAGGATCGATCAAGGGCCTTATACATTCTCAATCGTATCTGGCTTACTTATAGGGAGCGCTGGAGGTACCACCTCTGAATGGTTCATTGTCAAAACCTTTTAAGGAGTTAAGGTTTCTGTTTTCCATGCTAGTCGATGATTTTTTGGTAGCTCGAGGATGTAGAGGGGAGGAGTGCGAGGTGCGTTGCACACTGGGAATCCCAACTGGTGATTATCTGGTCGTTTGAGAGACTGAGGTAGGGCCATAATTGGTTGCGGATTTTAGTCGAGTCTGTACGACCTCTCCCCCCCTTTTTTTTGGGGGCTGGTTTGAGTTGGTAACGACCAAACCCCCCACCGCCGGCCCTCTGTTCGCTCCTGGCATCGAATCGAGCGTCGGGCGGGCGGGGGGCCTAATAGCACATGTAACACGAAAAAAAGCCCGCGAGGAACAATACTCCAGTTTCTTAGATTTTTCCCCAACTTCCTGCCACTTTGCCAAAATTTCCCGAAAAGATTCCTACTTTTCCCCAAAAATTTTGCTGTCGAGCGGGGGAGGGGCAGGCATATTATTCTGTCAGGGCATATAGTACGCATGAAACAGGAAAATCACCAAAAGTCAACCACCACTCCTACAACGCCAAAACGTAAATACGACCCCCCTCCCAACAATGACCAAGTACGACCCCCCCCCTTTACAACGTCCGTGAAGCGAGAAAAATCAACTATCAAAATAAATTTTTCCCAGCCCAAATACGACCCCCCTCCCCCCTATTGGGGATTCCCCAACAACGATGTGCCCTGATTGGGGTCGTATCTGGTCCGAGAGTTTTTTCTGAGTGTTTGTGCGCGCACTATAAATCCCCTTAGTTGGCTAGCTGGCGGTGATTGTGACTGGTGATTGTCGACCGGACGTTCTCACCCTCCTCCTCCGCCGCCCAACGGTGATTGGTCTTTCGTGGAAGGAGTCGTGCGGAAAATCCGGGCACCATGTCTAGCAAGTTTTTCCGAACGCCAAAACGTGCCCTGTCTGTGTGTCGTTCGAGAACTTCACGTCGCGACGACACGGCGGACCAACCGACAGCACACGCGCAGCATTCGCTCCAGACGTAATTGATTCCAGGTAGATTCGCTACAGCATGTTGAGCCAGTTAAATAGGAAGTACCCACTAGTTCGTGCGCGTCACCGCAACACAGACCTCCCGACCAGTGCTCATTAAACTCCTATGCGAGAACTCTTTGCAACAGACGCTTGCCCCTGTTCCCTAGTTCCTCGTAGGACTGGGTGCAGCGCGCGCCAATGAAGTTGACGCGACCACTGCTACATAATTATTTCT